AATCGTCGAAAGTTTTCCGCTGCACTAATTCACCCCCCCTCCCTCTTAGTGCTCTTGATCCTAACATTGCCCAATCAGCATGTTGTCTTCTCGCAATATCTGATCTCCTTAGCGCAATGTCCGATCTTCTTGGCCCGATACCCGAATTCACGGACCGAAGCCTTCTACCGACACGTCAACCAATCCTCCGGCTCGACATCTAATCTTCTAACGTGTTTGCTCTAGCCCAACGTCTAATTCCTCTTGTTTAAATCGATTTGCCTCTTCTGATCGAAGCTAGTCCTGCGTCACTCAAACGCACATTAGATAAACACTATCAATTGGTTTCATTATCAAAATTCGAGATTCAACATAATCCATAATGGGAGCCGATTCGTAACTGACCTGAACTTCCTTCTAGGCTTCCAAGAATATTCTTATAAATATTTTATTTTGGAGCCATTCGTAACCGACTCAAATTGCCTTTTAGGCTTTTGAGAATATTCTTGCAAATATTCCACAAGGGAGTCAATTCGTAATCGACCCAAATTGCCTTCTAAGCTTCCAAAAATATTTTTGCGAATATTCCATAGGGTAGCTAGTTTATAAACAACCTAAATTGACTTTTAAGATTTCAAAAATATTCATATGAATATTCCGTAAAGGAGGTAGTTTAGTAATTAACTCGAGTTGTTCCTTGTACTCTCGAAAATTGTAAATATTCCATAAGGGAGGTGGTTCGGTAACTAACTCGAGCTATCTCTTGGATTCATATTCATGAGAGCATGAGGGTGTCTAAGTCATTTGGGCCTTTTTTTCTCTCATGGGCCTTATGTTGCGTTGGAGTGGTGGATGATGGCCGGCTGATTATATATTCCCTATTAGTATCCTTATTTTTATTAGTGTTAGGATCGGAGCGGCACTAAGACGGGGGGGGGGGGGGGTGAATTAGTGCAGCAGTAAAGTACGATAAACTTTCGACGATTTAAACACTTTCAGAAACTTCGTACGATAAAAGCAGCGTTTCGTTTGAAACCATTTCGATTGCGTTTTAACTTGAAGGCAGTAAGCTATTGAAGGGGTTTGCAGTAAGGTAATAGCAGGAAGTAAATGCAAACCAGAGAAGACGATAGTTTATAGTGATTCGGTCAATCGTGACCTACATCCACTCCTCCGATTCCTCTTCCGTCGAGGCCACAAGCATCCACTAACGATCTTCCTTTACTAGGTGAAGATCAACCTCCTTCTTACACCCCTCTTACAAGTGGTTCACCCCTTTTACAAAGATTTCAATGAAAAGAAAGGAGGTGAACACTCAAGCTATTGAAAACAAGACTTTTCCTAAAGATTTTCTCAACTTTTAGCTTCTCACAAGGTTGTTATCTCAGCTGAGATTTGAGGGGTATTTATAGGCCCCAAGAGGATTCAAATTTAGGCTCCAAAATTTGAATTCTCTTTGGTTTCCGATGCTAGCGGTGCCACCGCCTGTCAATGGCGGTGCCACCGCCTGTCAGTGTCATACACTTATAGTGGACTAGCGGTGCCACCGCCCAGCTCTCAGGTGCTGGGCGGTGCCACCGCCAGACTCTTCGGTTCACTGGTTGGGCTTTAAATTTAGCCCAAACCAAGTCTAATTTTGGGCCCAGTTGGCCCTTACTTGGGTTATAGGATTAACAACTAATCCTAACCCTAAATAACGTGCTAATTACGAATTTAAAGACATTTCCGAAGCTATTACAAAGTCCGCAAGTCAAGACTTTTTCCGGCGAGCTTCTGGCGAACTTCCGACGGTCTTTCGACGAACTCTCGGAAACCATTCTGCGGACTCCCGGCAAGCTCCTAGACTTCACGATTTGATCTTGGCGAGTTCCAACGAGCTTCTTCGGCAAGCTCCGATCTTTCTCGGTGAGCTCCGCGAACTTCCAACGAACCTTCCGGCGAACTTCCGAAAAACCCTTCGGCAAGCTCCCTACTCGTTCTCGGCTAGTTCCGGCAGCATTCCCGACGAACCTTCGGACTTCCGTCGAACTCTCGAACTCTCAACGAATCCTTCACGCTTGACTCCGGCACTTTGTTTCGCTTTATGTCTTCATCGTTATCGTAGTTAATCCTGCACACACAAACCAAAACTCTACTCCGATCTAGACGATTATTACAACGCGAATTGACATTCTGTTGCCCGATACGTTATTGGTTAGCGCTTCGTCCGATTGGTTAGCGCTTCGTCCGATTCTTTAGCGCATCGTCCTCTCTTGCGGCTTGTTGCCCAATCGGCGGTTGACTTTCGCAACCCCGATATCCTTGGCGTAATTCCGCTCTTGGCCCGATGCCCAACGTCCGAAATCTTCTGCCATCTAATATCCTAACGTGATCTCCTCCGGCGCAACGTTAATTCCTCCTGCGTTAACTGTCTAATCCTGATCGAGTAGACCTGCATCACTCAAAATGCAGTTAAACATCTAAACACAATCAATTAGTTTCATAATCAAAATTCGAGATTCAACAATTAGAACAGTAATACTAAAATAACCTCTGATTAAATCAAAAATTAGTTAAATATGTAAAAATTAAAATAAAAAAATTTAGAAGAGAAATTTGGAGGTGTGCAATGCTATCCTAAGCCTATTCCTTGACCTCATGCAAGCATCATTCACGAGTCACTCAAGACACAATCGGGATGATTCTTCTACTAACACGATTACGAAGAATCGCGAAAGATAAAAGGAATAAGAAAATAATGAATGAATATAAGAAAAACTTTTCTATTTTCTTTTTTCCTCTCTTTCTCTAATTTTTTTTCAGAATTTTTGGTAGAGTTCTAGAGTATATTTCCTTTCACACAATATTAGCTAGGAAGTGATTTATTTACGTTCAATCACAATCCCAACCAATAAGCAAGTGCTGTGGCACTATGCAAACACAGCAACCAGCGGCACAATGGCACGCTCTTGCACATGGCACACACTCGCACGTGGGTGGGCACACGTGGGCAAGTGTGAATATCATGCTCGCGCATGACGAACATTCACATGGTGCGTGCGCGCAGAGGTGGACACGTCAGCACGTGTGAATGCCATGCTCACGCACGTCGGACACTTGCGCGGTGCGTGGGCGTGGGTGAACGCCATCCGTACATATGCAGTGACGATTACTGTAGCTGAGGTAAATAGATAATTTCATAATTATCTAATATATTATAAAATAAATCAAATATGTGTCATTCCTAAACTTGCACCCAAATCTAACTCATTTTACCTAAATGTATGTAAATGGGTTTAGGCCAACCTTTGCTTCTTAATCTTTTTCATAAGGCTTCTGAGGGGAGAGTAGAAGAGTTTAGGAAACTGTCAATGTGGGACTAAAGTCGATGGAAAATTAAAGTTTTTTTCCCTTGAAGTTCTAATAAATTTTTTTAAAACAATACTCATAATTTAAAAAAAAATTAAGCTATCCCTTAAAAATTTTCTCGCTTGTTAGTATTTTATTTGTTATAATATTTTTGATTTATTACAATATTTTGATCATCATAATAAAAATACTATAAGGCTTGTTTGAAAATACCATAAATAATCTAAATAAACTTCTAACTTCTACTAACCAACTAGAAGTCTAAAAATATAATATTATAATAATCTATGAGTAATAATAACTAAAGTAATATGATATGATATCACTTATAGTATTTTTCAATAATGTTTATAGTATTTTTAATGTATCGATAAAACACTAATGAACAATTTTGAAAATCATTATAAATAAGATAAATGAAAATACTGTAATTGTTGAAAACTGATAAAAAATGAATAGAAAAATTTAACAAAAAATCTTTTGAGAGATATTTTAAAAAATTTAAATTAAAAATATTATTTAAAAAATAAAAGAGAGATATTTTTAAACATACTTAAAATATAAATAATTTTTTTAAAATCGCCCTTCATAATTTTTTTATAAATTTACACCGCTATGATATTTAATATTTTATGAATTATTGTAACATGTCATTCTACTATACTTCTGCGAACCACACAGGATAAGATTTCATTTTGGTGTCAGCTAGCGCCAAGATTATCGACCCTCCATCCTGACAAAAGACTGAGGCAGAAACAAAGTGCTCCTTATCCACAACCAAACAATGGCGTCCAGATGACTAAGCTGTTGGCTCCTGGTGACTTTTGGTTCTATGCTATCAACAACCCTACGTTCTAATCAACTAATATTATGTAATTGTATGTGCATAGTTGTTGGAATTTAGATGATTGTTCATCGAATTATTGAAGTTTGAACACGTACGTACAAATACTTAATGCTATTGTGATCGTTGCAGGTTATGTTTTAACATTTATGTCTATTTTACATGAGAGAATGTTTTGTGATATGAATTGTAGTGTAACTAAATCTATTAAAACATCAACACGTAATGTTTGATTAAATGTTATAAATAATTAAATCTCGAGAATAACAGTATGGACGGGTCAACTTAAAAGAAAAGTTACCGAGTACCCCCTCGTTCTTTGCAGCCTTTGCTTTTGGTCTTCAGCCATACGAAGGCGTTGTTGTCGGAACCTCTTCTATCGTCGCTGTCAGGCTTTTCTGCGCAGTCACGGTTGGCTTTGGCGTCGTACCCACGAGGCCAAATAAAATAAAAATATCGCAGGATAAGGTGGAGAAATGGATAAGGATGACCCACTCCACCTTATCCGCTTGTCCCCATCCTCCTCTGACCGTTTAATGACTACCTTCTCTTGCATTCTCCTTCTTACCCTTCTCAACTCCCCCTTTCTCTCCTTTCTCTCTCCGTAAATATTAACGTATAATTTTAAATATTTATATTGTTTAATATATTATTACATAAATAACGGATTTTCAATTAAATGAAAATACTTGGACGTAACTAACCTCAATACAATAAATTCTAATTCCCCATTTGATTCACCACGGTGACGTTTACCACAACTCTCGGTGGACCCGTGCCACGCCATTACTCCTTCCGTTTCAACCTATTTTATGTGCGTACGTCGGCTTCCTCCTCTTTCTCTCTCTCTCCCCCTCACATGCGCTGGCCTCATGGGTGGCAGACGCCGTAAATAAGCCCGAACGTCGGAGGCATTCCTGCCTGGCTCCCGCCAAGCTCTCGCCGGAGCGGTAGCCGCAGGAAACAAGTAGGATCAGCAATGGTGTTCGCTTCCCTTTCTTGTCCCTTTTGCTTCTTTCGATTCTTTACTGGGCTTTGATTTTGTTGTTTTAGGGGGAATCGATCTTGTTTCTGGTTTCCTCGCTGGACGGTGATGGGGAACGCGGCCGCAAAGGAGGGAGAGAACGGCCACGGCGGGCCGATGGAGGGATCCGACCGCGACGCTGCTGTCCCCAGTGGCCCTCAGCAGGCGGTCGGCCAGATGGCGTGCTCGCCGCCAGAGAGCCCCCGGAACTCCCGGTCCCCGCGCATGAGCGCTCCCCAGGTCTTTGGTCATCCCTCCCAACTCGAACCCCCTTTGTCTCCAGCCTTTTCTTTTTGGTGATTAACTTTGTCTATTGATTATTTTATTATGATGATGAGTGCTGCCTTCCTAAAAAAAGAGTTCTATTTTTTCTCCAATTTCTTGATTGTGATAGACATGGTTTTGCTGTAATCTGAAATTTGCTTATCTCGTTCATTTTATTTGGGTTCTTAATGATATAAATAAATGCTATGGCGTATGTTTGATCTGGTACATTGTCGAACTTGATTGTCGGAAAATTATTAGTGTTTTCGGTGCGTGATTATTGGCTTAAAGAACATGATGGTTTATGGCACTGTTTACCTTAGTAGCTAAAATTGATGTTTATGATGATCTGTTTAATGTTTGAATAATAATTAATCAACAAGGTGATAGATTTCCAGATCAATGGAAAATGAAGTAGATTCAATACCATCAACTCTTCTGTGTTCATTAGCCCTTTGATACTCTCTGTTTGGTGTTAATAGTTTACTGCATTCTTGGTGAATTAAGCCAATGTTTTGCTCGTGAGTTACAGGCTAGTCAGTGGTTCATTTTGAGGCTCTTTTTCCTTTCCATATCAGCCTTGACCTTTGGCTACATTTATATAGTTACAATGGTTGTTCCTAACTGAAATTTGAGGCTTGGAAGCTTTCTAGGGCTTCCTGACAGAAACCTTTTAGGACCTCTCATTTCCTTTTATTTCTTTCTTTCCATGACATCTGGATAAAACAATGAGCAAGCCAAAAGTTTTAAACATGCCCTATTTTTCATATAAACATAGATTCATATTTGTTTACTTTCTCTTTTGGGAGTACCATATATTTGATCTCCTGTCTCACACACTTGACCTTACCTTATGTTAAAATGGAATATTTATCTTTACCAGATTATATGTTAATCAATTTGAGGACTGCATCCAATGTCATCCATAAAATTCGAAATTGTGTTCCTTTTGTACTTGTTCAATCTTCTTAAGATCATTTTAAATAGAACTAATTTGTCTCTCTATAAATTTCTATGGTTTGTTCATTGTCCACTTCATCAATTTCTTGCCATTAAATTCTATTCAAATCTTTGTTAGCACACAAAGAAATAATTGGACAGTTCTCATCATTCACCTAAATTTTCTATATTATCCTAAAACTTCTACTTGAATAAAAATATATAAATTTGTCAAAACTACATTGTCTTCAAACAAATGTTTGGTCTCGTAGGAATCTTTTTTAGCGATTACAGGGCATACTGTTAAATGTTAGCTTTCTCTATCTAGAGGCTTTCTTTCTTGTCATACTTTTTGACTGTTTGCTTGCATCATCAAATTTGTGATATATTTGGTAAAAGACTAAACAATTCAATTACAGATTCTCATTGTTATTAGCTTACCTTTAAAGCAACATTCAGAGAACAACTCTGTGTACCTCTTCCACATGTCATCCCCCAACTATGGATTGGAGTTCCATCATTTTGTCAACATAAACATTGCTTCTATTCATGAAACTGTCAAAAAAATAGAATTCTTGGTAATACAGATCAATTTGGACATTGTAAAGAGAACCAACGCTATGGAAGGACTGTTAATATTTGTTCTTTTGATGTTCCATATCTTATTACTCCAGGTATCCATATCACAGCTAATTTCTTTCTGTGCTTTTAAAACAAAATTACTCTTCATAGTATTTGAGTTCAACAGATGATTGATCATTTGAAGTTTCACAAAAAGTTATTGTGTTTATACAGTAAATATTTTTTGGATTTTTAGCACTCTGCATATGTTTCTTTACATCGAGTGTAACTAACCTGGTTATGAGACTTCTGTTTTAAACGCCTTGATAGTAATTAAAGTTACTTCAGTTCAAGGCCTATTTATATAATACTAAAAGCAATAAAAGACAGTTTCAGCTATGTCTATATTTTGATTGTTCCAAGTTGTTGCTCTTCATGATCCTATGCATTACAAATGGGAGGATGATTTGCATGTACCTCATGTCATATTTTTTCCAATTTTGATCTTATGAGTCAGTGAGGTAATTTTGTCGTTCAATCATTCATGTTCTCGTTCATTCTGTAATGTTTTTTGAAAAAATCAATGATTCCAACAAATTACACTTTAAATAGAGAATTAAAACAAGTGTTTTTAGTTTTGTGACATATGCCTCAATGCTGGAAACATGTGAGCACAATTGGTGCCACTGATGACACCATTTGTGGCAAACCAAATGACACAATGGAAAGCAGACTCGAGTCTAAATATGGGACTCCATTGAGCATGCAATTGGTTCAGCCAAATGCCTCAAAATTGTTTCTTCTTCTGAGGCATTAACTATATACTATATTCTGGAGTTCACATATGTTTATCAGTTAATCTCTACACTCTAGGAGTTGTTTAGGCTTAGTTTGAGTCTGATTTAGACTAAGATTGAGTAATGATGAGGACTAGTTGAAATTTTCATTCTTTCTTTTAGTTGCTGTTTTAAAAAGGCTAAATCATATTTCAACTCCAGTTATTATTTTGGTCCTATTATGGATATAGCAATGTATCATTGTCCATGAAGTTCCAAAAATCTGATGATATTTAAAGGAAAATCAAAATTCTATGCTATTGATTTGAGGATAAATAAAAAAGGTCTTTGAGTTGTCAGATATTTCTTCCTTTTCTCTACATTTTATTTGTCTTTATCTCATCTTTGTTTCCTCTTCTTCTATAATTCTGTTATATTATTCTATCAAAGATAAATTTTCTTTGCTTGTCTGAATGCATACATAATTGTTGTAACTCCCCAGTTTAGTCCCACATTAAATGCGAGAGAAGGCCTGAGTTGGTTTAAAAGGACCTGATGAATCTACCAGTAACTTACAAGCTTAAGAATGTTAAACCAGTGGATCATGGTAAATGGTATAAGTTGGGAGATTGAAACATCCCAGTTTAACTCTTATCATATGCTGGAAAAGGATTAGATGGGTCCAGTTTGAACTTTGACAAGAATTATACACTAGAATCTAGATTATCATCTTTTTATTCCTTAATTGGCTGGTACCAAAGTTTTTTTCTGCATTGTTCTCCTCTTTCTTTAGCCTTTAGCTCTTCATTGGTTGTTACCAAAGACAGATCCTACATCACGTTCACTCATTCTTCTTCAGCCTCGTTTCCCTTTCTTTCATCCATGGTTATCAATGCAGAGTTTTTCATTATTCTATATGAATTTTGTCAATATTTTGATCCCTGTGTACAGTCTGCAATCTACAGATTCATGGAAATAGTCTATTGATTCTCTACCAGACAATATACACTGAAGGATTGGATGATCTAGAATTAAATATTAAATCATGCAATCTTCTCTAGTTATCCTTGTGGCCAATTTCTAAACCCATAAAAAAATCCCTTTTCTTCAGAAACAAAATATAGATTGCATGATCCTTGTTCTTGCCTTCCCAACTATGAGCAAAAGGCACATGTTTGGTTCACATTTGTGAGAGTAACATTTATGGAATAATGCAAGTGTTGCATTGATTGTTGATAATCCATCAAGATTTGCTTTGAAAACTTGTGAAAGATTAGGCCAATATTTTGAAACTGATTTTGGACCTTCAAATTTTACATTGGCAATGTTTGGAGTTTAAATGCCCAATGAAATTTGAAGGTAGACATCCATGCCTACCTTTAGAAGCATATGATACTTTTAGCTTCAGGATATCTGCATTAGTTTCGAATATTGTGAAGTGACTCAACAACAACTGTACTGGGTGAGCTACATGGGTCTTTTGTCTATTGGGATCAAAAGTTTGATATCAAATATTTTAAAGTGACCTAGATATTTAGAACTTTAATATGAAGATTTGATACAAACATACTGTTATCATGTTAGATTTTAAATTTAAGTTCTATCTTATCCCTTTCTTCCTTTGATCACTTTCTCCATTTTGTTCATTTCTCTCTATTTCTCACTTCCAACTAAAAGCTTCTTTTTGAGCAGAATATGTGTACGGTTATTGGTGCTTTTTGTTTTCGAATGCCATTTTCTTAGTGCATGGATGCTACTTAAATATCAGTGCCCTATTCAAGAAGCAGATTAACAGGTAAATTTATGTTGTAGATTCCAGTAGCTCCATTACAAAGAGCAGCTGATACCCCTCCAGTTTTCAGTCAAACATGGATGAATCACTCTGATGGACCGTTTGACCCCCCAATCGAAAATGGAATTGCTACGCTCATTACTTGGGGCCATGGAGGGAAGGAGGTTTTGGTTGAAGGATCATGGGACAACTGGACTTCAAGGTTGAGATCTAAGATTACTGTGCAAATAATCCTAGCTTCCTTTTGGAACTTATTCACAAAAAGTGGATTGAGTTGCTAAGACCTTTCTAATTTTCAGGAAAGCATTGCAGACATCAGGCAAAGATCATTCCATCTTGTTGGTCCTTCCATCTGGGATCTATCACTACAAGTTCATTGTGGATGGTGAATTGAGGTTTATTCCTGATCTTCCTCACATGGCTTATGAAACTGGACACACTGTCAACATTCTTGATGTCTCTGTGAGTAAACAAAGTACTTGCACATTTTTCTTTCCTTTTTCACTAGCTAGAATCAAGATCCTGCTAATGATGCCCATTTCCATGTTCCAGGACTACATTCCTGAGATTGTGGAAGGTGTTTCTGAATTCGAGGCACCCCCGTCGCCCAACTCCAGCTATGGTGGATCATTCCCAGTGGATGAGGACTATGCGAAGGAGCCACCAATGCTTCCGCCCCAGCTTCACCTCACAGTTCTTGGCTCTCGAGAAGCCGAGGCATCTTCTACAAAACCTCAGCATGTTGTTCTCAACCATCTCTTCATTGAGAAAGGATGGGCATCGCAGTCACTGGTGGCCCTTGGTCTGACCCATAGGTTTCAATCCAAGTATGTAACTGTGGTCCTTTACAAACCTATGAGAAGGCAATAGCAAAACTTACCGCAGATCCAAGCTTCTTTGCTGTATAGAACAGTAGCTTTTTCTTCCAACGTAGGTTTAGGGTGCAGTTGGATTGCCACTATCAACTCTTGTTTCTTCTTATTTAAGTATTATCATCACATCCATGTCCCGTTTGATTCATTGTTATGATCTTGGTTTCCAAACCTGGATATGCAACTTATCGTGGTTTCCAAACATCCATTGCCACTATCAGCTTTTTGTTTCTTTCGAAAGTGGAACTTGATTGAGAAGGTAAGATTTTGAACCATCAATCTGATACGAGTCATGTGCATCATCAAATTAATATTTTAGATATAAAAATTTTATACGATGAGATTTTAAATTATAAAAATAAGATAACTGGTGGAAATATTTTATTATCATATTAATATTTTTGGTATTGTATATCTAATATTCTGATAGTAAAATTTCATATTGGATAAATGTGCTTCATATGGACACGCAAGGCTATCTCTAGTTTATTGTTGCTGGCAGAATAATGACCTTTCTTTGGAATCATGTCATTTTTTCCAATCTTTTACTATTAAACTCTCTTGGAAGAACACGGAGGACATTATTTTATATAGCACCTATTCCTAATAAAATTTTAAATCTAATTCAACCATTATCTAAAGTCAACACCCACATGAGGCTATTCTTTTTTTTTTTTGGACTATAAGGTGTCAACCAACCTTGTCCATATCCAAGTTTTATTCAGACAAGAAACTTATTAAATATTTCATCATTATTGATTAAAATAACTTTTAAAAATCTTTAGAATCATATTTAGAGTCCATTCAGCGTCCAGCGTCCAAAAGTCTTATATGACAATAGTATAGGCTATTATTAGGATTATGAAAATAACTATAGATGATTATAGATTTCAATGACTTTTGATAGGGAATATTTCGATATCATCACATAGCGATAGTCGATAGCCACCTCAAAATCAACGTGGCATCTCAAAGTCGACGTGGTGCACACGCATGGTACGACTTCAAAACGATACAGTGGACTTGGGAACGACTCACAATAGTGCTCGAGATCGTATAAAGTAGCCCCGCGCGGTGCAGAACCCGAACCATCAGCCCGTGTCATCTGGGGCAAACGAACTGGCTGCCTAGAGTGTCAGCAATCATTAACAATTTATGTGCGATCGATACTCAAGGAGAGGTATAAACACCGACCCCCTGGCCCATGTTAAGGGGGCCGAATCTCGAACATGCAATGGTACCACAAAAAGCTAAGTTAAGCTTCAAAGGGATTGAGCCAGGAATCCCCCTCCCAGTATCGACCTATTGGGCAGGGACCAAGCTTCTCCCTTGGCGGACCCAAGAGACACCCACCGTCGCTTTGACATCGCTCTGATCTCTGCCTTGGAACGCCTACGTGGATGCCCTAGCATGATCAGGATCGAACCAAGCCATACTGACTCCCAAGCCATGACAACATTTTAGCGCTAGAAGGAGGGCCCGATGTCGCAATAGCATCCACCAACAAGCAACCTCAATTAATGCCCTACCGAGGAGGCACTTGCTGCCCACTCCAATTTCTCCCTCGAAGGTCATCTACCCATTCTCTCACAGATGGATGGGAACGCCTTAGCTCAAACCCCGGGGTGCTACTAGCGCTTACTCAATGACATCGGACTCTTACCTCCCGAGGTTGGCACGGGACAACTAGTGGTGCCCACCGAGGCATTCCTTAGCCTCACCCATCAAGTGCAGGCGTTGGCAGGAACGATGCATACCATTGCATGCTGACTCATCCCCCAACTATCCCAATGAGCGACTCCTCCACCATAGCCATTGCCTTTAGCTCAGCCCACCTATGTCCCTATAGTGCATGACGCCACCCTAGTCGGCCAGCCACCTTTGGCTCCAAACACCAATCCTCTGACTGGGGAACAACCAGGAGACTTGAGACCGATGGTAGAACACAATGCACCTCCATCCCGACACGCCACCCTGGCCTTTCTCGAAGTGGACACCTTGTCATCCAACTCGGTAGATGACTCATTGTGAGCCCAATTGCAGCTGGTAAATCAGTGCCTAGACGAGGTCCAAAGAGAATTTCATAAGTCCAAGGAGGAGTACAGGGAAAGCACTTCAGTAGGGTTCCCCTTCGTCTAGGAAATTTAAAACAAGCTCATCCCACTCAACTTCCACCTCTTGACACTAGAGGCTATTGGGAAATTTGGGGTGACATCATATGGGCAATAGAAGAACAAAAAAAAATTTTCAGAATTTCCCACAGAAAAGAAGGTTTCGTTGTTGTGCGAAGATTTGTCCGCAAAAACCTGCAAAACCAAAAAATCACGTGTGTTAAGTGATGCGTGTTATCTAGATATATCATATATTTTTGAAAATTTGTAGATCTATGGGAGAGGATGAAGGAGGACAACTATCCTTCTCTCTAGTAGTAATCCACATGGCAAGAGCTACGAAGATACTCCGTAAATCACTGCTCAAATCTCCTCATTGCACACACTACACAATCAAGAAGGGACCGACCCTTCTTGTTGTCCACACACCCCAAATAAGGGCAGTTGACGAGGAGGAGAGGAGGAGAGAAGAATTGGAGGTGGTAGCCAAAAGGGATCTAGCCTATGGCCCTTTAGTTCCCTCCAATTTATAGAAGCCCCCTATCAACTTAACCCTAATGAATCCTGCCCTTTTGGGTATTGGATCTCCATCCAACTGCCTAAGCCTCTTAGATTAGTGGGTCTCTACTCAATAATCTCTCATTGGATCTTATTGGATCTCATCCATAAGATCCGATAATTTAGAGGTTTATTGGATATCTAATAAGATAGGATCTCCAACGAATATCTCATATCTGAACCCCTACTCATCGTAACACCTACCATATGTGTGTGACCCTCTAGGCCCAATATCAAGCTAACCATGAGTCATACTTATCAAAACTCCTTCTGGCTCGGTGAATTATTATCTCAAAAATAATTCACTCGACTCATCAACTACGGACGTACTATGCCACTACGCCACAATCCCCAAACGATATAGGGGAATCCAATCCATTGGACCTGTTTATCCTTAGTTACCATATATCTATAGTTCCTTATCCATCTAATACCCTATAGACCGTATAACAGGCATGGTGATATCAGGCCCATACGGTTTCTACTTGAGTCTCGCTCTAATCGAATTCTCCTAGAGAACTCTTTCTCTCTCAATCTGAATTAACCTGGCTAGTGATTTATTTGAGCAAGAATATATGAGATATTCCTCTTATGACACCGAGAGAGGATGATCCTCTATTGATACTCAAAAGTTCTCATAAGATTGGCTACCACTCCCGATGACCAGTTGTGCTAGATCTGGAACTTGTAGGCCTATAAGTCCAGTATCAAAGAGTAGAGTACTCATATAGGATATCCTTGGTATCTCAGGTCTAAGGACCAGATATACCACTAGAACGATGGAATTGTTGTCTAACAATAAGGCATCATCAACCATCTAGCATTCCGTGAGTGCATCAATTAGTGAACTTATTCTCCAATGAGCACCTGCACTGTATTCCTAGTATATCTACATGAGCAACTATAAGACCAGCTACTCCATCATATGGATGAGTATATAGTACATCAATTTATCCGATTTTCTTGATGTCCCTCTCGAGTAACCTATGATCGAAATTATTTAGGGTTTGTGTTTAAAGGTGAATCAGTCTCATTATCATGATCTCATCATAATCTGATTCTTATTGCATAGATCCATGAACATCATGCTAGTTATAGGTGTGCCCTGCAAGCCAATCACGTGAGTGATGACACGTGTGACTTGATATGTAGTCTTTTTGCTTATTATTATTATTTGACATTTTATCACTTTATATTACATATTGCTTGAATATATTGTGATGTCCATGGATCTGTGAAATGGGAATCAGATTGTGATGAGATCACGATAATGAGATTGATTCACCTTTAAACACATATCCTAAATAATCCCGGTCATAGGTTACTCGAGAGGGACATCGAGATAACCAAACAGACTGGTGTGCCGTATACCCGTCCATGTGATGGATGTAACTAGTCTCACAGCTTCTTATGTGGGGATACTAGGGATACAATACAGGTGCTCATTGTAGAATAAGTTCACTAATTGATCCGCTTATGGAATGCTGGATGGTTGATAATGCCTTATTATCAGAGATAGATTCCGTAGTCCCAATGTTGTATCTGGACCTTAGATTTGAGACACCAAGGATATCCTGTATGAGTACTCCATTATTTGATACTAGACTTATAGGTCTAGAGGTTTCAGATCTAGCATATTCTGTCATCGGGAGTGGTAGCCAACCTTTCGAGGACTATTGAGTATCGATAGAGGATCATCCACTCTCGGTGTCATGAGAGGAATGTCCCATGTATTCTTTCTGCTAGTCATAGGTGCCCAGCAAGCCAATCACGTGAGTGATGGCACGTGTGACTTGATATAGAATCTTTTTGCTTATTATATTTTGGCGTATATCACTTTATAACTATTGCATAAATGCATATATATATATATATATATATATATATTGTGATGTCCTTGGATTTGTGCAATGGGAATCAGATCGTGATGAGATCACGATAATGAGATCGATTCACCATTAAACACATATCCTAAATAATCCCGGTCATAGGTTACTCGAGAGGGACATCGTGATAACCGGATA